CGGTGGGTCTGGGCTATTCTATTTCTTTGTCAGAAGTGCCCTTTTTTTTGGATAAATCCGGAAATCTGGATTTCTGAAATTGTCTGGGTCTTCAGCACTTACATGACCTAATTGTGTTGCCAATGCAGTAAAACTCTTAAGGGCTGGTGGGGCACCTGAGGTCTATTTTGGCTATTACAAGGCCTAGAGTACCCATATTTGCTGTAGGACATTGTGTGTTATTGGGGATTTAAAATCAATAGTTTAAAAAGTATATTGTGAATCGATTGCTATGGAAACCAGCAGCCATATTGGATTTTGTGTACCTTTTTCAATCCCATTTTATTGCCTTATTTATCAACTGCTTCACTTCTAACTTGGCTTGCCAACAGTAAATATGTAGCTCTTAAATTTGGCTAGTTGAAATTTTGATATAAGCCTTAGTTTTTATTGTATGACACTTACAATTGGGATGTTGCAAAAAAAAGTGAAAAAAATTGAAAATTCATGCTTTTTAAGCCCATAAATCAAAGGCTACTCCGTTTATCAAAAATTCAACAAGCCGAAATTTAGAACTAGGTGTTGTTGGTATCCTGTGAAAGTTACATTGAAATTGAACGAGAAACAGAGCAGAAAAATGGGATGATGTGTGAAACAATAAGATTGTAAGGAAACAGCCGATAAAGGTTATAAAAGGCTGGAAAACATGTGCTTTCGCAGAGAAACCTGACACACAAAACTCAGCTTTAGGGTGTAGCAAGGCTTACATATGTTTCTGGATATTGTTTAGGAAATGTCCAGTTACTATAATATGTAATAACCCCGATTTGCATAATTTGACACCAAAACACGATTTCTAGGTGCCCCACTGGCCCTGAATAAAGCTAAAATCGGAAGTATTTCCATTTGTCCTTGTTTCTTTCAGCGGAGCTGGTGAGCCACGCCACCCTGAGGCTGTCTGAGCCAGCCTGTCCTCTCAGCCGCGCCTGGACGGAGGAGAAGCAGTTGAGTCAGAGCAGCCGCGCTGTCGGGCAGTTGTACGCGCTGTGTGTCCCAGACGAGCCGCAGGAGAATGAGCTGGAGGAGAGCCAGGTACCCTCTCTTCTCCTCTCCTGTCCTGTCGTGGGCATGTGGGGCTGAACTAGCAAGTCTGACCCCTACACCAATCGCGACCTCAATGCTTTCTTGTCGTATCTCCCATTTTTTTAAACTGTGAAAATGTGACTTCTTCTTAACTCTTTTTATCCTAGCTGTACCCCCACGGACTCTGTACCAGTCCTGGGGCCGCCACGCTGTATGAGTCGGAAGTCAGTGCGTATAGTTCAAAGTGCTATAATTCTTACATTTATTCTAAGGTTTTAAGGACATTTTGCAGTTATATTAGAAATTGAATGTAGTTTTTTTAAATGTATGTGGTTAAGAATTACACCAATTGCACAAAGTAGATTTTGAGGTTTATTCCACCCTCGAACTTGACCCTGATTGCCGCGCCCACGACTTCCCATTGGATTTTATAGATCTAGATCTAGCCCTACCCATCGAGCACAAATTCCAGTACTGACCCCTTCACCATGATCTGAATCGCTATTAGATGAGTCTAAGTCCTGTTTCTTATCATCCACTACAGAATTTACGGCACTTATTTCAGAGTCACTTTCGTCAAATTAGTATCATTCCCCCTCACAACCCAGCGCCACTTCAAAAAGTACTTCGTCGATCGTGAATGTGCGTTTTCGAGACATCTTTCAAGCTTCTACACCCATAAAAAACAAAGAAACCACTGTTCATTGGAAAAATAAAATATTCAGACAGAGCTACCATCGCCGTATTTGCGTATCTTGGTAATTACAAGCAGAACTAGCTTCTTTGACGAGACCGTATCGCTGTTCAGAGTATACTCGTAGCCCGGACTGGTCCTCGTTACGAGTATACTCGTAGCCCGGATAAAAAGAGTTAAGTTCACTCTTTTTATGAACTGTTTTCACCGTTTAAAAAAATGGAGATACGACAAGAAAGCACTGAGGTCGCGTAATGTGAACATAAACTTGTGGGTACTGTGGTGTCGTCGGCTTCTTCTTTCCTATCAAATATCTATCATCTTTATCTCTCCTTTTTTAAATGTTTGTTACTGCAAAGGTGTGGATGGTCGATATCAACCTGGATAGACCACAGATACCTTAAATATAATTAACACAAGATACAGAACGAACACGCCATGTTGGTTAGCCGCCCAGTACAAGCTTTACTGAGTTACTGTATTGGAGAGCCTTCCTCCTGCTTGAACAGTAGTTTCCCTTGTCGGGCTCACAACAGTTACACCAATACATTATGGTCCAAGATATACTGTTACAGTTACTCTCTTGTAAAACTTCCAATCTGCGGTACCAATGTGACCAGACCTTATTGTTTTGCTAGTGCTGTAAATTTCTTACTAAAACTAAACACCTCTCGGGTCTTTTATTAACAGAAAAGAGGCCTCGCTGCGGAAGTGCTCAGAGCATGCTGGCTCATGTCATCGTTGCATATTACAGCATTCTCAAAGCTCAAATTTTGTGCTGTATAAATGCAGTCCATTTTTTTGGTGGTTGTTTGTTATTATTGTTTTGTAATTATTATTTGTAACTTTTGTAATTATCATTTGTTACTTTGACATGCCATAATCATAATTATTATTGTTATTGTGATTATCATGATGAATATTCGTGAAATAAAGATTGTTTTGCCATTTTTGTTTTTTGCTATGTCATAAATGTATTATTAATACTACTATTATTATTTTTATTATTGTTTTATTATTATTATTATGAATATTATGACAATGGTTTTTTAAAATAAAAATTGAATTTCAGATTAAATACCCGCCATCATTTTCCTGCCTCCTGCTCCATGATTGCCTCTGCAGTAGTGTTTAACAATTTACAGGGACATGTTTGTTGGTTTGTTCTTTTCTCATTTTGATGAATAATATGACCTGACTACTTGTGAGAAAGGAAGGATTCAAGTGGTTCTTTTGTTCTCTTGTCTTTCTCCCAACAGAAGGATGCGAAAAAGCTCCTGCCTGGCCCCAGCTTTTGCTACAGTTACTACCTGCTTCAGCGTGTCCTGGAGAAAGGAGGTTTTGCCGTCAAGGGCGACTCTACCGTCTGCTGCCAGGCTCTTGTGCTGGTGCGGGAGCACGCCAAGATGCGGAGGACAGCCGAGGATGCTCAGGCCATCGATGTGGTGAGTGCGCCAGAGTCATTGCTTTTTAAATCCGGTAATAATGTCCTCAACCGCTTCTTTTTCTAGATCACATCACACTTGAAGTCTGGTATCTATCATATACTGGGCCGTCCTGCTCAGTTCATCGGTCGGCCTGTACAGCTTCTTTTATAGTGGTCCTGAACTGCAATGTTTAAGAACTTTTAAAAGCTATTACAACGTTGCAGGAGGGTACGAACTTAAGGAATGAATGTAAGTGGTCAATGGGCGCTTGTGTGGTTTGCTTCTTTTTTCACATCAAGCATCTGCTGTCCATATCTCTCCTCATTTATTTTTGTATAGTACTCTTGTATTACATCTCTAATCTTTAGCACTTATATGGTTTACTTGTGTTGCAAGTGCCGTAATACTTTTACTAAAACCTAAAGGAATAAATGAGTTTATATTATATTTCCTGTCTTGCAGCTTGAAAATATACCCATATTACATTTTATGTTTGAAATTATCTGCATATCGAAGGATATACCACCTATAGGGTGCTTCAAAAAGATGTTGTGTACTCCCATTACACTTGCAGCATAATATAACATGCTTTCTTTATGAGAGTGACAGGAATCTGTAAATGGAGTAAAATGTAAAGGCCTTGGTCTTTCAAATGTCGCTGTGAAATTGGATAAGAGAGGTTTGATTTTAGACCTGCATGTTTGCCGACAATCGTCTGAAATCCGACAATCGCGACGCGACCCGACCCGCGAGGCGGCCGATGCTATCGCTAGGCCCACCTGTATCAGTCAATGTGCGTAGTGCGAGGCCTGGCCGACTGCCAGCGTCCCCCTTTTCTCCTGCCGGCTTTGTCGGCACTTTCGTTTTCGTGCCGACTGCCAACGTCGGCGCTTCCGACATAATTGTCGGAACCTGAGTAGAAATGCGAATACGAAAAAGGACGACGACCTAAATTATTTACTTTCAGTTTCGTGCTCGAGCGGCCATTTTGAATTTCGTTTTGTTGACAAATTCAATTGTTCAGATCGTGTGGATTCATTTCAGTCCGACTCACTTAGATAATAGAATCTAGATCTAGATCTAGATTTATATACTCTAGATCATTATAGACCTCAATGGAGGATTCATATTCCATTTCTATTTTGTCAAACCCTATCAAAGGTTGTGCTTTAATATTAATGTTGGTAAAAGGCATTTCATCAGGTGCGTGAATTATTTATTTATTTAGAATCTAGACTCAGCTGAGCCCCTCTGTTCGGAATCGGATGCGGATTTCTAGATCTAGTTCAAGGCCTCTTCCTAGATCCTATTCACTTGTTCTTCTAGATCTAAATCTAGATTTATTTAGTTTACTAGATCTATATGGAGGATTCATATTCCAATTCTATTGTGTTATTGTATCAAACCCTATTATTATAGATTTAGTTCATTTAGATCTAGCAATATGTAGATGTAGATCTAGGCCATTATATTATGCTCCTTGTAAGCCTTGTTTGTTTTGGAGTGTGGTTTTTTAATTTTAAAAATGTTTTTCATTTTGGACTTCTGCTGGCCTTTTCACATGAGGCTCGTTGCAGGTTCTTTTTTGGGGTAGGGGTAGGGTTAGGTCTCTTCTTTGTTGTGTTTGTTGGGGTGGTCGCTCGTTACTCGGAAGTCCTTCCTTATGACACCCACAAAAGCTCTTTGTGGGGGGGGGGGGGGTTGTGCAAAATTTTCAGACAATCTGGTTGAGGCTCACATGCAGGTCTATGATTTGTTGCTAAGAATTTCGTTTTGAGACCTCTGATAGGATAAGAAAACATATATGTGTGATCGGATGATGATGATTTTTGTCTTGTGATCCTGTGGCTAGTACGACCCGGACCTACTGCCGAGACGGGAGCTGTTTTCTCTGTGTCTGAATGCCGTGGGCACTTGTGGGGCTGAGGTACAGCAGGCGGCCACAGAAGCAGTTCTGGAAGTGGCCCGGGCGGCCAACGGAGAGCCAGGAGCCACAGAGGTAGCCCCTGACGAGGTGGAGGTGTTGCTTGAAGCGCTGCACTCCCCGGCGACCGCCGTCAGAGATGTGGCTCTGCAGGTAAGAGCCAGGCTCGCCGTACTAAGGGTTGTTCAGAATTTTGGGTGTTGCTTTTACTTCTTGGGCAAAATTAATCGAGAGCTTTCATGCTTTTTGTTAGCTTTGTGACAAAGTCATGCATCTTTTTAGGACTGTCTTTGCTGAATTGGGTCTACAGCAACTCTTGCGAAATTTTGTAGTTATGATTTCGAAATAATAGAAATAGCAGGGGACCCTGTGAATTAAATGGTTACTGAATGCAAGTTTGTAAAGAAAGTCCAGGAATGTTGGTGAAATACCCCAATCAGTTTTCCAGATAAAAACCTGATGTTGTTCAAACTACTGTCAGACCGTATGGATTTGACCTATTATTCTGTTGAAATACACACTTATAGCATGTATTCAATTATGTATTATTTATTGCAACTGATTTGCTTCTAAGTGAGCATTTAATAAAATTTGAAGTAGCTGCTCACCTGACTTGATCATACTTCTTCCCCCCCATCTCCCCCCTCTCACCCTCCAGTGCCTGTGTGAACTGAACGAAGTGCTGCCCTCTATTGACGAGAACTACGACCTGGCTGTGTTGGTGGCCCGCCATGTGTGGGTGGCATGCAGCGACCCACAGGCTCCCATACAGCAACTGGCCAATAAGTGAGTCACCTGACAACTTTATGTTTAGAGATTCTCTCCCCCCTACCCCTTCTGTAGGTCCTATGAAAATCAGTGAACATTGAAAATCATCTATTGTCTTGCCTTACTTCTTTACTGTCTTCTCTTTCTAAGTCTTTTGTTAGCACTGTTGAATGTTTGCCTTCAACTGAGCTCTCAGTTAGGTTAGTTGGTAACTTGCCAAATTATGAGGCTGATGACTTTGGTTCGAACTCCTAATGGGAAGGTCTCGAAATTAATTTATTTTTATGTTTTTATGGCGGAGAATATGATATTTACAGCATTGAAACTGCATAGAAGTATTTCTCCTCCCACCCCCCCCCCCCCCCACACACCTAATACCAGTATCAATGTGCAGGCGGTTGAAGAGTCCCATTGGTATGTTGTTCTTCTTTTCTTTCTCTCTGTTGTTTCTTTCTTGTGTCTTGCTTTTACCTTCTAGCACAAATTGATTATAGTTGTCCCCCCAATGACATATACTTTACATGTGTACCCTCCCTACTCTGCTACTCCTCCGTGCATCAGTCTGCGCGAGGAGCTGGGCCTGGAGGAGCCGTACGAGGAGCTGTGCACGGCCATCGTGCCCGACACCACCCACGACCAGGAAGTGGTGCGCACCGGCGCTGCCATGGCGCTCTCACAGGTCCTGGAGAAGCACCAGACGTATGTGCCAGCCACACTGCACACCTTGCTGGAGCTGTATCAGGAGAAACTTTATGTAAGTTTTTTGCTCACCTTTATTTTGGAAGGCTGTAAGATTCTAAGAAAGAACAGCCTTCGTGCCATCTCCATCCCCACCCCGCTAAGAAAGAAAGAAGAAAAAAGAAAAGCTGATGAGAGCGTTTTTCTGAGAAACATAAAAACAACATTTTGGGTTTAGTGCTGATGAAATTGTCCGAAATGGTCGCCATTTTTAAGGAGAAAAGGATTGTTTTAGACCGGCTGACATCTTGGACAGTGTCATTATGATATGAAAAGACGCAGAGGGGGTAGTGGGAAGTGGTCGTTTGTTCAGGTGGTTGTCTCAGACAGATGACAGTTAGAACAGGTTCGACTGAATCTCTGACTGTCTGCTGGGATGCTGTATTCCAGTTGACCCATGTCGATTTCTGACTGGCAGGGTGGAAGAAATGCGCCTTGTCGACTGTTTGAATTGTGTCAGTGAGGGGCATAAAACGTTATGATTATAATAATAGTAATAATAGTAGTAATAATAATAATAATAATGATAATTATTTTCCTGAAGAAGCCTAAATGGGCGAGAAGTTGGACATAATTTATGATGTTATAAAACTTCTAATATTCAAGTTTTCCACCGATAATTTTTTTTTGGGGGGGGGGGGAGGTGTTCTGCTTACTGCAATAATAACGGTAATGATAAGGATTATTGTGAGGCATCTTGATGAAATCAGGCACTTGTCAAAATGTTGAAATCTAAGGAACTGGTGTTTTTCTTGCCGTCAGGCAGTTTTGTTCTAATTTTAAAAAATAGACATCACAACTTTTATGTTAATTTAAAAACACATTTCTGTGTGGATTTTACTGAAAAACATTGATTAAAGGCACAAAAAATGTAAATTTTCAGTTTCTAAGGCCTCTCAAGCTAAGGAAGTTGGCAAACTTTAGCTGCTATTTTCTCACTACTTTTATCTCTGAAACCAGATGACCCTCACCTCCTCCAGTCACAAATATCTTGACTTTTTTCACCAAAAGCAAGGCGAATCAACCGGCTTTAAAATGATACCAATAACCCCTTATGACCAAAAATTGAGGAGCGCCTGATTCCACCACACTGAGCCACAATTGCATTTACAAACATGTGTTGGATTTCTTCTTCCCTGCAGCTACCTCCCCCTCAAGTGGATGAGTTTGGCAGACTGAAGGAGGAGCAGCCCCCAGACATGTGGCCGGCCCGCTCGGGCATCGCCCTGGCCTTAAAGCAGTTGTCGCCCCTGCTGCCCGAGGACCAGATCCCGGTGCTGTTTGAGTTCTTTGTGCCGACCGCTCTGAGCGACCGAGCCGCCTCGGTCAGGTCTGGCATGAGGGACGCTGCTCTGGCCGCTGTGCAGGTGCATGGAAAGGTAACAGCTCTTGCTTATTCTGTTTCTACACTAAGCACTGTGGGCTGCACGTAATGTCTTTTGTATGTTTTAAGAGAGAATGTTTTTCGTTTTTTTGGGTGTTTTTTTCTATGAGTTGAAAACTTTCAAGAAACCAGGTACATGGTTAGAGCATAACAACGTGATTATGAAACTGTGGTTCGGATCCAGTTCCACAAAGGGCAAGCTGTTGGCCTTGTGGCTTCTATGATGTCTCGTGTGTGTGTCTCCATTAGGAAAATGTGAACACCCTCCTGCCGGTCTTTGAGCGTTTCCTCATCACCGCGCCCGACACGGCTGACTACGACCCCGTGCGCCAGAGCATTGTGATTCTCATGGGCAACCTGGCGCGCCATTTGGACTCGGATAACCCCAAAGTGAAGCCCATTGTGGCTCAGCTCATCGCTGCTCTCTCCACACCATCGCAGGAGGTAAGGGCACATGTGCTCTTGTCTGTTATCTTTCTCTCCTTTCTTTCCCTCTGTCTGTCTGTCTCATTCTTTCTTTATGTGCATGTAACTCACTTTTTCTGTCTGTTCTGTGATTTCTCTTTCCGTTAACTGATGTCTCTCTCTAACCCTGTGTCTGTTTGTTTGTCTGGCTTTCTTCTGTCTGTCCTTCTTTCTCTCTGTCTGCTTCTCTCCATTTTTATGTCTGTCCATCTGTATGTCTCTCTTTCTCTCTGTCCGCTTGTCTTTCTTTCACTGTGCCTGTCTGTCTCTCTAGAACATGACACTAAACAATTTATATTCGTTGAACCTTCTGCCTTCTTATTTATCTAAATTGTGTCATTCGGGGCAGTGTAAAGTATTTACTCCCCCCCCCACCAGAGCAGTGCTACTGTCTGAAGTTGTCTTTAGGCCATTTCCAAAGCATGATTTTATGCACAGTAGAATTGTAAATGGGCGGATTTATCAATGTCATGCTCATACTGTGCCGGAACAACATAGGAGGAACTGCTGCTTTTTTTTTCCTCATCTTTACTATCGTCGTTTTCCTCTACTTCTTTTGTATGTTTGTCACTCTCTTGTGAGCTGCTATTTCTGGGGTGCCTTGATAGTCGAAGCGGATTTTGTGCTGTTGAGAATAGAGAGGTGAGCAAAGTAAGCCTGATTCCCTATTTGGACTTCTCTGTTGACATCCACCCCTTGGCACTCATGGTGTAGTTTGCTTCTTCTTTCCTCCAACATCTATCGTCTTTATCTCCCCTCATGTTTTTGTGTGTTTGTTACTTTCTTGTAACACCTCTAATCTTCTCTAATATGACGTTATTGTGTTGCAAGTGCTGTAAAACTCTTACTAAAACTAAAAGACCACTGTATGTATATGTGTGTGTGTCAACCAGGTCCAGGAAGCTGTGGCCAACTGTCTGCCGGCCCTGGTACCGTCCATCAAGCCGGATGCACCGGGCCTGGTGTCCAAGCTCCTCTTGCACCTGCTGGACTCTGAGAACTACGGCGAGCGGAAGGGCGCGGCCTACGGTCTGGCCGGACTGGTCAAGGGTATGGGTATCCTGGCGCTGAAGCAGCAGCAGGTCATGGACACGCTCACCGAGGCCATCCAGGACAAGAAGAACCCCCGGAAGAGAGAAGGTCAGCCATCTTTATGTGTCTTCTTCTTAATCTTGGTCTTGTTGTTGTTGTTTTTGTCTTTGTCGTTGTTGTTGTTGTTGTCATTGTTGTTGTTGTTGTGTGTGTGTGTGGTAGTCTATCCGTTCGAAATGTTTGGAGCCCCGAAGAGTGTACTCTTTGCCAGGGCCACCGCCTCTTTTGTGTTGTTGTTGTTGTTGTTGTTGTTGTTGTTGTTGTTCTCTTCTTATTCTTCTTCTTCCTCCTCCTCCTCCTCCTCCTCCTTCCTCCTCCTCCTCCTCCTCCTCCTCCTTCCTCCTCCTCCTCCTCCTCCTCCTCCTCCTCCTCCTCCTCCTCTTCAGTGAACTGTGGAAGAAGAAGACAGTAGAGTTGTCACAACGAATTTTACTGTAATTCCAGGTGCTCTGCTGGCCTTTGAGATGTTGTGCAGCATGCTGGGCCGACTGTTTGAGCCGTACATCGTTCACATCATTCAACATCTGCTGCTCTGCTTTGGCGACAACAACCAGTACGTCAGAGAGGTCAGTGCCTTTGTCGTGACATTCTGGATTTGGGGGGTTCGAGGTTCAGTCCTTTCCTCGGAGATGTCTATAGCTGGTTCTGAAAAGTACTTAAATGGCCATTGTGTGTGGATAATGCTGTGTAGAGGAAACAAGTTTGTGATTGGTATGAGGGCGCCACTGGAAAGTCCTATTTCTTTTCTTACCTTTTGTTGTTTCTGTCTGTGTGTCCTGCTTTTTCCCCTGCACTAAATGACAGTAATCATGTCAATGTGTTCTCTTTATTCTGACAAATAAACAAACAAACTATAACAAGTTACTGATTGTACTTCAATAGGACCGGGCGGGTGGTTGACGGGTGCTCTATGGTTTGCTCCCTCTTTCATATCAAACATCTGTCGTCTTTATCTCTCCTCCTTTTTTATGTTTGTTACTCTCTTTTAACACCTCTAACTCTAACCTTCAGCACTTATATGACCTTATTATGTTGCAAGTGCTGTATAACTTTTTAAAACTAAACTAATCGAACTAACCAATGTCCCTCTCTCTGGAACAGGCAGCTGACGACTGTGCCAAGTCTGTAATGAGGAACCTGAGTGCCCACGGAGTGAAACTTGTGCTTCCCTCGCTGCTCAAAGGTTTGGAGGAGGACGCGTGGAGAACCAAAGCTGGTGAGTGGTGGAATTGTTGTGTTTTTTCTACTATATATAGCATCAAACTTTCTTCCTGAACCAAAATAGATACAGTTTTACTTTTTTGAGATGACCAAAAATCATTGATGAGGGGGAAAGTGGTCATCTTTAAATGGCAATATTCCTCCTGTGCATTTAGAAAAGAAACAAAGGGGGAAGTGGTCATTTGTACTGGTGTTTGTCTTGGACAAGTCTCTAGAAAATGTCAAGCTTGATGCTGCGCTTGTAAATCCTGAAGTCGGGAAGATAAATAATGATATTGTTTGAAAATGAAGCACAAGAGGCCCTTTGAGTAGACATGAGGCTGGGAGGATATGCAGCCAACCTGTGGAAGACAAGCACATATTGTCGAGTGGAACAGTGGTCGTCTTAGACATCTAATCTATTTTGTGGGCAGGTTGGGAAAGATTTCTTTTTTTAAAAAGCTGAGAGAGAGGGAGGAAGGGAGGGTGGGTGTGTAAAGATCTATGGAACTATGTGCTCTGTATCATTGTAAAGTGTACTGAGCGGTTTCCTATTGGAAATGCACCGTACAAATGCAGTTTATTATTATTGTTATTAATTTTAGTATTAATATTTTTATTAGTATTAGTATTGTTATTATTATTATTATTATTACAATTATTATTATTGATATTATTATTATTATACGTTCTTACGTTAAAGAATAGAAGGTAAAAGAGAGAACATTTTGTCCTCAGGATCTGTGGAGCTGCTGGGAGCCATGGCGTTTTGTGCTCCCAAACAGCTGTCGGCGTGTCTGCCTAGCATTGTACCCAAGCTGACCGAGGTGCTCACAGACTCCCATCTCAAGGTACAGAAGGCAGGCTCTCAGGCCCTGCAGCAGATCGGATCCGTCATCCGGAACCCGGAAATTCAAGGTAGGTGGCGAGTGAACTGTTGTGATTCTTCATGTATCTATTTCTGTCGAAATAAGGTTGTAGTCCACATAAGTTTGTCTGTTGGGCTGTCTTTTTAGTTTTAATAGAGGTTTTACGGGGCTTGCAACTGCATAAGGTCATATGAGCGCCAGAAGATTAGAGGTGTTACAAGAGAGTAACAAACATAAAAAGAAGAAGGGGAGATAAGGACAATAGACTTTTGATAGGAAAGAAAGAGCGAACCACACAAGAGCACCCACCAACCACCCACTAGGCTGTCTTGCTCATTCATAGCACTGTTTACTCAAAAATGCAAATTGTTCATGTGTCAGAGTGGTAAGGAGTTAGTGAGCTCAGGGTCACGTAATGTCAGTAAATGGCTATGAGATGTGTGGACTCTGGTGTGTGTGGTCTCTGGTGTATCCTTGAGCCTGAGCACTCATCAGGATGCTGTGCTGACCAGCAAAGCAGTGGGTGGTTAGCGGGTGCTTTGGTGTGGTTTACTCTTTTTTTTTTTTCAATCAAATATCTATTGTGCTTTTCTTTCCTCCCTCTTTTATGTATTTATTACTCTCTTGTAACACCTGTTATCTTTGGCACTTATAAGACCTATTTGTGTTGCAAGTGCTGTAAAAACTCTTACTAAAAGTAAAACTGATTGGGTATTTAGAAAGTTATCAATCAGTCAGTTTCAGTGGTCAGTTTCAGCAAGGATCAATTAAGTCATCCATTCTATTTATGTTCTCTCTGTATCGTTTATTCCTGCTGTTCTGTTCTGTAAGAATATATGACTGTGTGATTTCATCAATGTGTGCGCGGGTGTCTGGGTAAGCTTTGTGGGATTGTCTTTACTCAAGGGTGTACTGGAGAGAGAGAGTGAGGAAAAGAGAGTGAGACAAAGAGAGTGAGAGAAAGAGGATTACTATAGGAGCTGTGCGCTGCATATGTTCTTTGTATTATTGTAAAGTGCATTGAGCACTTCTTTGTGGAAATGCGCTATATAAATGCAATTTATTATTATTATTATTTAGAATTTTTTTTATTAGGGTTGTTTTTGGGTTTTTTTTGTTCCTCAGCAATTGTACCGAACCTGCTGGAGGCTCTGCAGGAGCCCACACGCAAGACGACCACGTGTCTGGAGAAACTGTTGTTGACCAAGTTTGTTCACTTTGTGGACGCGCCGTCCCTGGCACTCATCATGCCGGTCATCCAGCGGGCCTTCCAGGACCGCACCACTGACACCCGCAAGATGGCCGCTCAGATCATGGGCAACATGTACTCGCTCACAGACCAGAAGGTGAGTGAGATGGGACGAAAAGAATGTTGTGTCTTTCCTTTGGGTTTTTTTTATTTTTTTTTTTTTAATTATTTTGTTTTGTTTTTGTTTTCCTTCTTTTTGTGTGTTATCTCAGTGGGGATATTTCTTTTACAGGGCGTCATGTTTTCCTTTACCAACCAGAAAGTGAGGGGTATCAAAACGAAAATCAGGTCTTTCTTTTTTCTTGCTTCTTCGTGCTTCTTGTTTTTTTACTCTGTGATGGTAATTGACCGGTACCAGTGGTGGAGTAGTTTTCCATGCAGAAGACCCCAATTTGATTCCCATGTGGAGAGAATTTGTGTATATAGAGTATCTTGGTCTTTCTTCTGGGACTTTGCATCACTCTCAGCCCAGGTTAGCTCTGACAGGCAGTGTCCAAACAGCCTGCCTACAGTTTGCTGTAAATAGTGATGATGTGGGCATTATGATAATAATGATAAGAATAAAATTAATGTTAATAATAATAATAATAATAATAAAACACATGCAATAATCACAAATTTACCCCCCAGGGCAGTGCCACTGACTGAAGTGTTTTAGGCCATTCCAAAAGGGGGGACTTTTCTCCGTAGAATTGTTAATGGGCTGATCCAACAATGTCATGCTCATAACTGTGCCTGAACTACAACAGGGAACTGCTGCTTTTTCTTTCCTAATCCTTACTATCATCATTTTCCTCTACTTCTTTTGTATGTTTGTCACACTCCTGTGACATGCTATTCCTGGGGTGCCTTGATAGTCGAAGTAGATTTGTGCTGTTGAAGCTAGAGAGGTGAGCAGAGTAAGCCTGATTCCCTGTAAGGACTTCTCTGTTGACATCCACCCCTTGGCGCTCATATGACCTTAGGCAGTTGCGAGCTCTGTAAAACCCTCTACCAAAACAAACGAAATCACAAATTTTCTCGAATGTCCCCAGGACCTGTCCCCGTACCTGCCCTCTGTGATCCCCGGCCTGAAGCAGTGCCTGCTAGACCCCGTGCCCGAGGTGCGTAGCGTGTCAGCGCGTGCGCTCGGTGCCATGGTGCGCGGCATGGGCGAGGACACGTTCCAGGAGCTCCTGCCCTGGCTCATGGAGAAGCTGGTGTCGGAGAACAGCTCCGTCGACCGCTCTGGCGCAGCTCAAGGTCAGTGGCTTGTGTGGGTGACTTGCACTTGTATATATTGTGCTGCAATACCAGTGAAAATACACTTGACAATTTCTTCCATTGCTGGAAACTATCAATAAAACATAGGTGCCAACTGCCTACAAAAAAAAAAGAAGAAGAAAATCCTGAATTTTTCAGACCCCGTGGAAACACACACACATGGAGACTCAAAGTTACAGATCATATTAGCACTATGTTTACAATTGCTTATCAATTGTAACTGTTTAACCGTCATGCTGCTGGCATTTATTGCTGGCCAAGTCGCCGGGAATCTTGTTTAGGTAGATATTCTTCTAATAATGATAATCATAATAATAATAATGATAATGGTATTCCTACGTCTACCCTTGAAAATCCAAGCCCAAGACACCTTACAGTAAAAACGAATAGTGTCTACAATGAAAATTGCCTGTGGTATGACATTCTTCTAAATACATTTGTATTACATGCGATATTGATAGTGGCTTGTTTCATGTGATTTCTTAATTCATTTCTTTTCTTCCCTTGTTCTCTCAGATAGTTACTTTCGTGTGACTTCTCTGTGATTTTCTTTTTGTTTTTACTTGCTCTTAGGAGCTTAAGTGATTTTATTTGATTTCACAAGTCTACATTTTTCTTTTCTTGATGTGGGTGGTTGGCAGGTGCTTTGATGTGGTTTGCTCCTTCTTTCCCATCAAACATCTGTCGTCCTTATCTCTCCTTCTTTTTTTGTGTTTGTTACTCTTGTAACAACTCTAATCTTTGGCAATTAAATGACTTAATCATGTTGCAAGTGCATTTAAACACTTACTAAAACAAATTAAACATTTATTTTTCCACTTTTGCTGGCTATCAGGTCTGAGCGAGGTCATTGGTGGTATGGGAGATGACAAGCTGAAGAAGCTGATGGGAGACATCATCCAGACAGCAGAGCGGCCAGACCTGATGCCGCACGTGCGCGACGGCTACGTTATGACCTACATCTACCTGCCCTCTGTCTTTGGCCCTTCCTTTGTGCACTACGTGGGGCCCATTCTGCCTTCCATTTTGCAGGTATTAGCCTTGGATTAATCTTTCAAGCTGTAATTTTTCACAAATTATGTGCCTCAATGACAAGGTTTAGAATAAGTGAGCTGTTACTGAAGAAGTTTTTAGACATCAAACGGCTAAACTGAAATTGTCATGCTCTCTATATGTTTGCCCTACTCTCTGTATTAATTTTTTGTCCCAGTCTTGCATCCAACCATCGAGATGTATAATCCAGTTTATTCTTTAGACCATTCCCAAAGGGGGGACATTTCTCGTTCAAGCACAGTAGAATTGTAAATGGGCTGACTCATGTCACGCTCATAACTATGCATGAACTACAACAGGGAACTGCTGCTTTTTCTTTCGGATCCTTACTATTGTCTTTTTCCTCTACTTTTTTTGTATGTTTGTCACTCTCTCGTGACCTGCTATTTTGGGGTGCCTTGATAGTCGAAGCAGACTTTGTGCTGTTGAAGCTAGAGAGGTGAGCAGTCTAAGTCTGATTCCCTGTAAAGACTTCTCTGTTGACACCCACCCCTTGGCGCTCATATGACCTTATGCAGTTGCGAGCGCTGTAAAACCCTCTACTAAAAAAACAACAACTCAGTTTATGAGTCATGTGTCTACACTTTCTGTCTTACCAAGGCCTTGTCCGATGAGAACGAGTTTGTTCGTGACACGGCCCTGCGCGCTGGAAAGCGCATCATCTCCCAGTACGCCGAGACGGCTGTTGAGCTGTTGCTTCCTGAGCTGGAGCGAGGCTTGTTTGACGACAACTGGAGGATTCGGAACAGCTCCGTGCAGCTGCTAGGAGATTTGCTCTACAAGGTCTCAGGTAAAAAGACCACGGATAATGTTTTTTATGTGGGTTTTTTTTTTCCCCTCCGTTATATTCCCAGACAAGAACAATTGTGTCACGATGCGGTGGAATCGGGCGCTCGTCAATTTTGAGGCAGATGGAGTTATTGGTATAGTCTTAAAAGCCTGTCAATTTGCCTTGCTTGTGGTGAAAAAAATATCCCTTTATCTTGGATACAAGTCGAGATATTGACGATTGAAGGAGGTGGGGGTCGCCTGGTTTCACAGGTAAAATTAACGAGAAAATGGCCACCAAAGTTGATTATTTTCTTAGTTTGGTGGAAACTGAAAATTTATATCTTTTATGCCTTTAATCAACGATTTTCAGTAAAATTTGCACCGAAATGTGTTCTTTAATGGGCAGGAAAGGTGTTGAGCCAAGTAACTAAAATTCGATAAAAATACCCAAACCTACAAAAGGCCAGTTTTTTTAACCTTCATTGTTTTGATGAGTGCCTGATTTCGCCACACTGCCTCTCAATTAGTAATGTCAACATTTGTTTTCTGTTAAACACCATATTAGTTGTCTCTATTAAATGTCTTTTTCCTTGCAGATGGAACTTTGTAAATTTTCAGTGATTTTCACAAAATCCCAGTGTCATCCCTGAAAGATGAAATAAGTGAGTTGTTGTAGTATATGCCTTGCAGGTAGCAGTGCTGTAATTTCGCCAGGGAACAGAAATGGAAATTTCTAATAAATAGGCTAGGCCGACCAAGAGAGTCATTGTGAGCCTTCAAGGGGGATACCTGACAACGGCTTGCCCTACGTTTCATTAAAAAAAAATTAATTTATTGTTTCTTTTTTTGTGTGTGTGTGTCTTGTTGATATTTCCTGTGGCCATGGTTAGCTTCATCTCTGTTCTTCTTTACAGGTGTGTCGGGCAAGATGACCACTGAGACGGCGAGCGAGGACGACAACTTTGGCACAGAGACTTCTCACAATGTAGGTGCTCTCACATCCTCTTAGCAATACTATAATTTTTAAACTAAGATTTTAGTCTCCTGTTTTTATGCTCTCTCTCTCTCTCTCTCTCTCTCTCTCTCTCTCTCTCTCTCTCTCTCTCTCTCTCCCCTCCCTCCCTCCCTCCCTCCCTGCATTAGGTTGTGGTGGGTGTTTGGGTGGGTACTGATTGGTTTTATCTACGTGAGACCAAAAATAAAACATGAAAGTTCCTATTTCTTAGATTCTCAGTCTTTTTTGTAAATATTGTGTGGAAAATCTTAAATATTACCTATCCCTCTGTTGTTCTTGTATGTTTTTCTTGTTGTCTCCCAACTGTGCATAATCCATACCTTTAACATTGATATACTTCTCTTTACTCAAACAAATTTGCTAAAGAGTACTTTGCTTTGCTTCCCCCCACCCCCGCCCTGTTAGGCCATTATGAGAGCTCTCGGCAACGAGCGCCGCAACCGCGTCCTGTCCGGCCTGTACATGGGCCGCTCCGACACGGCGCTGATGGTGCGTCAGAACGCTCTGCACGTGTGGAAGATCATTGTTGCCAACACGCCCCGCACGCTGAGGGAGATCCTTCCGACCCTGTTCACCCTTCTTCTGGGATGTCTGGCCAGTACCAGCCACGACAAGAGAACGGTGAGGCCCTCTCTTATCTCTTTTTGTGTCTGTGATTAGAAGTTTGTGCCGTTGGTCATATGGATGATTTTTGTGGGAATTACTGACCACTCTTAATAAGTCTTGACCATACTAATACATAAGATACGATCAAATGATATTGGATCGTCTTAGAGGGAAATTTAAAGAAAATGTGGAAATGGGATCGATTCTTCTTCTTCTTTTTATTTGTCCTGCTAAGTGGCAGCAATATAATGCAAGATATGAATAGGATCCATAATTATTGTTCTCATTATAGGTTCTGCTAAGTCATCACAGAAATACATGACCGAAATGATATCTTTTGTTATTATTATCACTATAATTTGTCTTACTTAATTGATATCATTATAAGTCCTGATAAGTGTCGCAGATATACATGATATGTAAATGGTATCCATTGTTATTGATATCATTATTTGTCGTGTCAGGTTGCCGCGAGGACTTTGGGTGACCTGGTCCGTAAACTTGGTGAGCGAGTCCTGCCGGAGATCATTCCCATCCTGGAGAGCGGCCTCAACTCTGAGGAGGCGGACCAACGGCAGGGTGTCTGCATCGGCTTGTCTGAGATCATGGCCTCTACCAGCAAAGAACATGTAAGAGAAAGAGAGAAGGGGGAGATAGAGAATGAGGAAGAAAGAGGTAAATATGGGGAGAAACAGAGAAAGAGAGAGATTGGGGGGTGGGGGGGAAGAGTTTATATCCAAAGAGGCAGAAAGGAAGAAAGAAAGAGAGCAGGTAAACAGGCAGTGAGAGACAGGGAGAGAGATAAGCAAGCAGAGGAACAGAAAAAAAAAAATACAGAGAAGACAGAGAAAGAGAGATGAAGCAGCAGAGACACAGAGGTAAAGTTCTTTGGTTGTTTTAAATTCTGCAGTGCTTGCACTTTCACACTCTATTCCAGTGCCATATGGTGAACTGTTGTGTCTCCACTTTTCCCAGGTTTCAGTATTCGCCGACAGTCTGATTCCCACCGTACGACGCGCTCTCACTGACCCCCTGTCTGATGTACGCGCGGCCGCGGCCCACACATTTGACAACCTGCACCACAACATCGGCGCCCGTGCCCTGGACGAGATCCTGCCCAATCTGCTGAGACAGCTGGTGAGCAATCCCACTTTTTCATTACATGTAGTTCATCAGTGATAATAATAATAATAATAATAATTCTTCTTCTTCTCTGTTCTCTATTCTTCTCCATTCAGTAGTTGGTTATTTTTTGCCCTCGTTTCCCTTATGTCCAGCTAATACTGGACTCCTTAATACTGGGAACTTGATATAAAAATGTTCTTGATTCGAGATGTGTAAGACAATGTGATCCGCAAATTTTGAGTTCCTGTGCTCACGTTTCCGCAGGATCTGAAAAGTTCAAAATATTTTTTCAAAGTGAGTTGGCACCTTTGTGGTCTGTTCATGGGGATATGTGTCCTCTGTAGTGCCTGTTTGTGGCAAAGTTCAACTTTGTCGCAACATTTGCTTTTTGCACTCTGGTGTGGTATGCTCTTTCTTTCCTTCCTGTCAAAAATGTATTGTTTTTATCGATTCTCTTTTATTTAAAAACACAAATTTTGTATGGGTATGTTACTCTTTAGAAACTCCTCTAATCTTCGGCACGTACATGACCTAAGTGTGTTGCAAGTGCCGTAAAACGCTTTCTTAAACATTGTAACGTTTACTTTTCAGAATGACGAGGAGATGTCGGGGCGTGCTCTGGATGGCCTCAAGCAGGTGATGGCTGTCAAGAGCCGTGTGGTGCTTCCCTACCTCGTGCCACAGGTAAACCATTCTGTTTTGTTCTTGCTATTGTTATCGTTGTCTTTGTTAACACATTACACCCTAAGGGCCTGGACGGGAAGTCCATTGTTAGATCCTAAGCAAGGGGAAGGAACCCACCTCCCGTGAATACAAGCCTTTAAAAAACATATTTTAAAAATACTAAACAAATTCCAAAAATCCTGAAAAAATAAAAGTGAAAAAGAAAACTGAATGTAGTTTCAGAAAAATATAACTTTATGTAGGCGCAAACTGTTGGAAATGTTCTAACTTTAGTTCAATCGGGGTGTTCGACCCGTCTCTCTCACTCTCAGCCTCGCGGTCGGGCCCAAGATCTAAATTCTAGATTTTCTCCGTCTGATCAATATGAATCGCCCCAAACTCTTGCTACAACGTTTTCATCAAAATCTTAGCCATCTGATTTGCCATATGCTTGTTTTTGCTCTAATCCATCCTTATTTTCGTTTTCAAACTCAATTGTGTCGCTTTTCAACAAGTCGAGACACTTTCGAAGTGTCGGTAACGCGATCGCACTTCGATCAGCTCTAATACTAAAACTACTGGCCTGAAAAATTTCGTTTCGGTATCAAACAAAAGAAGAAACTTTTTGCTATAACTATGCAAGTCAAAATCTCGGCCCCAGAGTCTCGTCAAGGCGAGACTTCGTTTCTAAAGACGTTAGGTTGGCGCAGGCGGTTCCGGGTGAGTCAGGGTGGAGTGCGTAAGGGAATTCGCAGGCGAGTTAGGGTGTAATGTGTTGACATTGTCATGAAGGGGTTTTGAACGTGCCGCCACTAGTAGACATCATCATCATCATCATCATCATCATCATCACCACCACCACCACCATCATCATCATCATCATCATCATCATCATCATCATCATCATCATCATCATCAGCAGCAGCAGCAGCAGCAGCAGAAGCATTGTGTTGGAAACAATTCTGATTCAAAGTGTGGCCAAGAATGTGTCTGTATTTTTTTCATTCTCTAACTTTTGCCTCTGCGTATCTTTGTGAAATGTGACTGTTACCAAGCTGAATCTTCTTATTCTACTACGAAACAAAAACAGCAGTGATAGCAACAGTTTTTGCCGATTATAATCTATGGAACAAGAAATGAAGTTATAGCAGTTGTGTGGTTTTGTTCTCAGCTGACGGCACCGCCTGTTAACACCCAAGCCCTTTCCCTCCTGTCATCGGTCGCTGGAGAGGCTCTCACCAAACACTTGGGCAAGATTCTGCCCGCCCTTCTCTCGTCTCTCAGTGAGAAGGTGGATACACCAGAGGAGGAACAGGTGAGTTTGTTGAAGTGCCGTAAAACTCTTACTAAAACTGAATCTTCTTTTATTTGTGTGTACTCTTTGCTATCATTTTATATATTTTTGGCACATGATTTTATGACCTATTAATGTCGCAGGTGCAGTAAAACGCTTACTAAATCTAAACTTTCTCTTCTTTGTATGTTGCTGTCTGGTAACTCCTCATATCTTTGGCATACAATTACATAACCTATTTGTGTTGTAAGTGCCATAAAACTCGACAATACTAAACCTTTTTTTTGATTTCTGGATACTCTTTCTGGTAGCTCTTCCTATCTTTGGCATACAATTATATGTTGCAAGCGCTGTAAAACTCTTTCTAAAATTGAAGGTAAACTCTAGCTAAACCTACAACTCCCCAGGAGCTGGAGTACTGCAAGTGTGTGGTTCTGTCCGTCGAGGATGACATGGGCGTGCGCACCGTCATGGAGGAGCTGCTCTCCGTCATCACGCACAACCCCGACGCGGGTGTGTGCACCGCTGCCGTGCTCATCCTGCACAGTTTCTGCGCCAACACGGCCGTGGATGTCTCCGAGTACTTACCTCAGCTGTTCCGCGCCCTCATTGGCCTGTTTGCCCGCACGGACGACAGGCTGCTCATGGCTGCCTGGAGTTGTCTGGACGCCATCACGAAGGTCAGTCGAGAAGAGACGTGTGTGATGATTTACATGTATGGTCGCTTTTAAGCATTAGGGGGCTATCCCGAAAAATGCTGTTTTGAGAAAATCGAAGGTAAAGTATTGCCCCTATTTCCGTTTCTTTAAAAGACAAGGAGAGTTTTCTCTATGACCAAACAAATTTACACACCAATAAAACCAAACAAATATACACACCAATAAAATCAAACTTCTCCTATTCCTATAGGTAGGGCAATGCCCACTTTTGGTGTAGGTCAAGATTTCTGGATACTCCCGAAATCTGGGTTAGTCCGCTTGTCCTTAAAAGCGACCATATAATATAATCCTCCTGATATGGGAGGATTGTCCATATGGGATGTATGACCGGCGCTTGAAGTGTAGCAGTAGGGTCCTTTGCCCTCACAAACAAAAGACCTGGGTTCAGTTCTGGTGTATGGAGACTTTTTAATTGTGTATCTCATCGGTCTTTCTGATTAGATAATGTTTCATACCTGAAGCAGAGTGGAAGCCGGCCTCTTGAATGATCTAAAGTGTGTTGTTGGGACAGTAAAACATCTATATTTTAAAAAATGTTTGATTTGAAACATAAGCAGATTTACAACTCCCAACAAGAGATGTGGGTTGTAAGAGGGGATATGTATATGATGAATGGGATGATTTATACACCTAATTATTAGGGTATGTCAGATGGGACATGTGCTGATTTACACCTCTTGGTGAAAGGGGGGGGGGGGAGGGAGGTTTCGAAACAATGTTTGCTGATGTATTTGACAGGAGATGACGAGGGATCTAAAAGGGAATGGACGTATTATGCTGCATTACACACCTCTCACCAAGAGAAAAGGAGCGGGGATTTGATGTAAACTTTAGTCATTTTCTGCTAGTTCTAATGTAAAAGTCAGAGGGAGAGCTAGAATCTTTGCAAATGACAGCAGTACTTTTTGATGTGATCTTGACCAACAGGTGGAAGTTTGGGGTTCAGATCCAGATGGGATCCGAGTTTTCTCTTTCTTTGAAGAGTATTTCTTCCTATCTGTCCTGTTAAAGACCAACATGAGCAACATAAAAATGATAATTCTCAGAAACCAGCATTTATATACAGGGGTGGACACCTACATATGCCCAATAACACATGTACACAAATGCATACACTTGCAGTAATTCATCCACATACATGGGCATTTAAGTACGCAGAAACACACGCATGCAAACACACACACACACACACACACATACACACAGAGGAATGCACACACACAACTCGCTCTCACAAGACTACAAATGCCCCCTGAATTGCTGTAATATATGTTTTATGTTTCAGAAAATTGACCTTACCAACACGTCAGAACACATTGCCAATGTGAGACAGGCTGTCAAGTTTACGCTGTCAGACTTCAAGGGGAAAGAACTACCTGGCTTCAGTATTCCGAAAAAGGTGAGTCAAAGCAGTTGGCTTTTTTCCTCCCTGAGTCTCGGTCCTGAACTATGTGATAGAAGTTTCAGTTCTGAATTGTGATCTATATATATATGTGTGTGTATAACGGCAGTTTGCACTGAATGCTACCCAGGAAGTTGCGAATGTTTTGGATTGTTATAGGCTCTTTTTGGGTATTCATAAATTGTAAAGAGTCAACTTGGGAACTTATCAATTTTCATAGGTTAGTGGCAAAACTATGTTTGACCGAAAGAAGAGATGAGATTTATTTGAACTCCACAGGAGTGGTGTCAGCTCATTTATGACTGCAGTGAACACATAGTATAGCACACAGTGACAGAAACTGCCACATTGAAGCAGAGAAATCAACGGGTCACGAATTCAGCCATAACTCTTTTCCATTGAAATTTCTTTAAGTTCAAAAGTGTCTGATTGAAAGTCAAGCATGTGAACTCATTGGGCTTTATAGGGTCTCACATTTACCGTACATGCAGAGCTATGGGTCAGCTGCCTGTTGGACCATTTTGCGTCACGTCTATTAGCAAAGCCTCTCACTTTGGTCTAGAAGTGTCTTTTGCCACTGCCTGTCAGCTGTGAGGTATTTTGTTGAATGTGTTCAGTCATATTGTCTTCTTCCTCACCCCCGTGGGTGGTTGGCGGGTGCTCTGGTGTGGTTTGCTTCTTCTTTCCTATGAAACATTTATCGTCCTTATCTCCCCTCCTTTTTGTAATGTTTGTTACTCTCTTGTAACACCTCTAATCTTCTGGCGCTCATATGACCTTATGCAGTCACGAGCACTGTAAAACCTCTACTAAAACTAAAACTAAACCCACCTCTCTTCCTTAGGGCATGGCTCCTGTGCTGCCAATCTTCAGAGAAGGTCTGCTCAACGGTGCTGCTGAGGTGAAGGAGGCGGCTGCCCTGGGCCTGGGAGAGGTCATTGCGGTGACCGGTGCCGACGCCCTGAAGCCATCTGTGGTCAACATCACGGGACCGCTGATCCGTATCCTGGGTGACCGCTTTGCCTGGTCCCTCAAGGTGGCCGTGCTGGACACTCTATCCATGCTCTTGGTCAAGGTCAGTTGGGGAGAAGGGTTAAAGGTCAGATGTGTCCTCATTGAGGGAAAATAAGGCTAATGAAATTATTTGTAAAGAGGAGCACACATAGACAATGGTAATGCTCATTTATTGATGAGAGAAAGAACTGTCGCACATCATGGAAGTAGGGCTTACAGGGGGGGTCTGTACCCAAACCCCAGTTTTTATTTATTTCATCAGGAATTTTTTAAGGGGGAACAGAATGTATAACAGCTATGCTTATTTTCCCATGAAATTTGCATGTTAAACATATGCTACGAACAAAAATTTGCCTTTATGGCCATTCCAGTCCACATTTACCCCTGAATCAGGTTCTTCATACAAATACTTTCAGGCTTCAGGTGGTTGCCAGTTCTTGCATATTTTTTTCCATTTCTCGACTATTGTTTTTCAATATTAAGTTCTCTTACATTCTTATTCTACATTGTCCATAAAACGATTGTCAAAAATCTCATACAGAGTTGTTGGAAAATTCCAAAATTAGAACATATTAACCTCTTCAATGTCACAGGTAAATAGATTTTAGCAGTAACCTCCCCTATAATTGGTATCAAAACAACCTCTGTCACTGTCCCGTAAATTCTACGGGCCATAGGCACAGCGCTACGCGGTTCAGGCCCATAAATTCTAAGGGCGCGTTAAAAAGCTGCTTTCCAGAAAATCAATATAATATTCATGGAAATTTGACCGAAAACGTTACCGCTAGACTTCTTAATTTAGGCTTTTCTAGTAGAAAGATGACCAATGAAGGGATTACTTACTAGTCAAACTGGGTCAATTTTTAATGGTTGATCCTGGTCAGCTGATTTGGTGTTCTATTTATAGTAATGATGTATGGATTTTGTCAGACATTTGGTAGAGACAAACGGTCATATTTTTGTTCATTGTTTGTCCTCTTCTAGGTTGGAGTGATGCTGAAGCCATTCCTGCCACAGCTGCAGACAACGTTCATCAAAGCCATCAACGACCCCAACCGCACAGTGCGCCTCCGGGCAGCGGCTGCGCTGGGGAAACTGATTCTGATCCACACACGGGTAGACCCACTCTTCAACGAGCTCATCAATGGCTTCAAGAGCAGCGAGGACACCAGCGTCAAGTCAGTACCCAGTCACTCGTAGATACACATGCATAAATTTGAGCATTTACTCACTCATATTCACAAGTGCAGGCATGTGCACACTCACACACTCACACACTCACACACTTGCACATTCATCCACAGAAACACACACCTACAGATGCGCACACACACATACACACACACACACACACACAAACATACAAACATACGCTTGCCCATGCACAAACTTTGTCACACGTTCACAACACTCATACACATACTCACACACACAAACGAACACACACACACACACACACACACATACACGCACGCACACACACACACACACACACACACACACACACTCACAATAAGCTCCCACAAAAGCACATCATCGTCCACTTTGACCCTGTGGGTAGTCTTTGGGCACTTTTCAAGTGTTCATGGTCTACTCTTTTAACTCACTTCAGACGGTTCACACAACAGTTGCGTGACCCCCGCCGCGATGCTCGCGATGGGTCTCACAAGCCCTGCGTGACCAACTTTGGAATTTTTTTTCGCTCTACAAATCACGCACGGATTGCGAGACCCGCATCGTACCCTTGTTTGGCCAAGCCTGAGCTACTTAGACTTCGTTTCGTATCTCTGGGGCCGGTAGTTTTTAAGTTATTGAAGGTGAAGGACAGTGACCCAACTGGGATTGAACAGACCGGAACTCGCGCTTTGTTTTTTTCTATACAGCTGATAGTAATCCGACAGTCGCGTTGTAGTAACGGTCGAAGAAGTCGCATGAACAAGGATCACATAATTTCGCCGTTTTCTATACTTCTATACGTTTTACTAGTTCTAGTGTCTCAGAATAAGATGTGTCTAATAGCTAGGATCCTTGACTAGGGCTAGATCTAGCACTAGTACCGGTGTTGTTTTTCACGCAACGAAATCACAACGTCGTGCCGTATATCTGTCTATGTAATTCAGTGTATGGGTCTGAATCAATGCACAGACCAGCTTTTATATTTTCACCAAACACTCGCACATATATACAAATCAAACCAGAACACTTTGAACTTCTATTTTTGTTGTTGTAGTGAATTTCATTCTACTCGTCACGTCTCTGGAAATTTTAAAGGAAAATCAAATTCATGCCAATTTTTAAAAAATCATACAAATTAAAGTATTAGACTTAGTCAACTTAAGTTTTTTGTATTAGATTAAGCTTGAATGTTACTTTACTGTGTCAAAAAATAATTACAATAGGGTAATTCTGAGAGTTGTGGTGATTTATTGAAATACCCCCCCAAAACGCCAGTCTTCAACGCTTGTGACTGGTGAAAGGGCCCAGTCGCAAGTGAGTTAATTTCTTTTCCATGTCATCCTCATCTGTTCTTTGTGCAGCTAGACGTTGGATTATGTAATTGTGCGGCCGCGATGAGGCTGTTTTTCCACATAATTCTGCAACATTTGCATAATGTTGGATTCCCTGCGTTTTTTCACATTTTTGGGGGTTCATTTTTCACTAAACAATTAAATTTTTACTGTTAAAAGAGAAAAAGATTTTTTACTACGAAAACAGAACTCTTTAATTTTGCGAAGTGCACAAAGTCCATAATTATCTTTTTCCGGAAACTGGCCTAGACCTATTGATGATCGGGTCGGGTTGGGTTGGTTTGCTAGCCAGATTGAGGGCGCAAAGCGGCTATCGTGGCACAAGCCAATCACGCCCGCAAGCGACAAACGGGCCGATCACCCATGACCAGACCCGACCCCCAATGGGTACTCTGTAAGGAAGTGGAGATGGATAAATTTTTTAAGAATAACAAGAGGGCGACCAAGATGTCCACAAGTGAACGTCAACGACAATTTATCAACACAACACACTTTTCTGGTCTATTTTCACAATCACAACTGTAGCCTATAACTATAAGATGCATTGTCTGTTTTGTGATTTTTTTGTTTTTTTGATCAGCACGTCTCTATCACTCTGCACATCACCACAACTACTATGTTACAATTGTTTGATTTTTTTTGTTTGTCAGCGTATCTGTCAGCACCTCAACACATCATGATATAATATTTTAGCTTTTTATTATGATGTGTTGGTTGCTGGATCGATAACAACATTATGATGTGTTGGTTGCTGGATCGATAACAACATTATGATGTGTTGGTTGCTGGATCGATAACAACATTATGATGTGTTGGTCTGGTCCTGATGGCTTTTTTTTTTTCCTGGTTGGTTTTTCTGACTGATGTGTTTAATTTCCAAAAATACACAAAAAATACTGATATAGGCTAACATATGTTCTGTTTTCAATTCTTCTGTACATAAGACAAAAATTCTTGAAGAAAAAGTGCAAAACATGTCGTGAATGGCGTTACAGTAACTTGCATTTTTGCGTAATTTTGCATTTGTCTTGCCTAATTTGGGCATTTAAATTTGCATAATTCTGCGGGGACAGCCACATCTTGTCTGTTTGACTTGCAGCAAGCTACTCTTTCTCTCCGCCCATGACCTTTCTCTAATGCCAAGTTTTCTAAAAGGTTTTAAAAAATTGACTCATCAGCTTCTCTTGATAACAACACAACATACAGTTATTAGTGTGCGAAGAAAATACACAAATGCACAGAAACAAACAAAAAATGTTTAACTTTTTAAAATTTTAGAAAAGTGAAACTGACATTGTTTTGATATTTAAAAACGAAAAAGAAACCCATTGATACTGGTGATTTTGTTGGCTTGAAACTTCCCCCATCCCCACCTGAAATTGGCATTACCCTCTCTTTCTCTTTTCTAGAAATATTGCATAATCCAATTTACTTTTGTTCAGTGATGCGAGATTCTTTATGATTAGCTGCAAGACATATAACATGCTATCTCTATATATCTCTTCCTCAATGCAGGGATACGTTTGTTCAAGCTACCAGGGCATGCCTGAAAGGTGCAGGTTCAAAGATGGCAGACGCGGGCCGCCGTCAACTGACCACCACCCTGGTGGGTCTCCTGGGATGTAGCGAGGACAGCACGCGCATGGCGGCCGCAGGATGTCTGGGGACCTTGTGTGCCTCGCTGCCCGATGCTGAGCTGTCACAGATCCTCATACAGCACCTTCTAGGTAAGATCTCTTTAGGTAAAAGTGAAGAACAGCACATGCACCCATTACCAGCACACATATAACCATCACACACACACAGAAACACAACACACGCACAGAACACAACACACAACACACACCACACACAGAACACAACGCAAACATACACAACACAACACTTACATTGACACACAGAGAAAGAGACTTCTGTTTCCTGATTCTGTAAGCCATAGCACCAACCCCATGATGGATCTGGTTTCGTTTTGGATTGTTTTTTTTGTTTTTTGTATGTTCGTTTTGTGTATGTGTGTGTAGTGCATGTCTCTGTCTGTTTTACTTTTTCCCTGCACTAAGTCGGCGTTTTTGTGTAGATGTGTGTTTTTATTCAAACACAAAGAAACAAAACGAGGCATGTGTCAGATTGTGACTGAACTCATCTCAAGTCTTGAGAGAAAGCTCTATGGAAGTCTCTCAGATTGGAAGCGGACTGCACAGTTTGTGCACGACATCGGACTGACTGTCTAGCTGCTGTCATCAAGAACAAGGAAGAAGAACAAGAATCTCAAGTTTTTCTTTTTTTATCCCCCCCCGGCAGACACAGACGCGAGCCAGGACTGGACGGTGCGTCACGGACGCAGCATGGCGCTCAGCGTGGCCCTCAAGGACGCGCCTGACCGGATCTGGCAGCCAGCACACAGCTCCTCGGTGCTCACCACTGTCTCACAGCTCACTGCTGCAGACAGGGTTAGTTTCTTTTCTTTCTTCTAATTTTTTTACTCAAGTGTCAGCTACCTGTTGGGACATGAAAGGGTCGTTTAGAAGGGAGCGCAGAGTTCTATGGTCAGAGAAAGAAAAAAATTCTCTTGTCAATTGTCTTTGATTTATAGAGTGAGAGGGGGCTTGTTTGAGCTTCAATTGTTGTCGTTTTAATTTGGGGTGGGGGATACAAACTTTTTGGCCTTGTCGTTTTGGTGTTTCATGGAAGGAAGTCTTTTTAATCTGAATTTTTACCAAATGAGTCGCATAGAAAAGTTCTTTGAAAAGCATTAATTTGTCTGTCAACAAGTAAAAAGTATGCATCTTCGTAAATTTTCAGAAAGTTATTTTCACAAAACCCCAGTAGCATCGCTATCTTTTCTTCCCACAGATCCCGATCTGTCTGAGCGGTCTGCGTGCTGTGGGCCATCTGCTGCGACACCTCCTGGATACCCAGGACGCCAGCAATGCTGTCACAGACCTCCAGACTCTGCTCATCAAGGTAGGTGCCCAGTGTATGCTACATCATCTCCAGCAGTATTCTACCATTATATCGAACACATTACACCCTAACTCGCCAGGGATTGCCTGGAAATTTCCCTACGTGCTCCACCCGAACTCGCTCGGAACCGCCTGCTCCGACCAGGCGTCTTTAGAAACGAAGTCTCGAGACTCTAGGGCCGAGATTTTATTTTACATAGTTATTGCAAAAGGTTTCTTCTTCTGTCAAACTTTTTCAAGCTAATAGTTTTAGTTTTAGAACCGTTCGAATTGAAGTGCGATCGCTTTTCTGACATTTCGAATGTGTTTCGATATGTTGAAAAGCGACACAATTGAGTTTGACGACGAGATTTCACTCATTGAGGTGATACTCAGTGATACAGTGAGCTCTGTATCGAGCATGGCGACATGAACTGGTGACAAGTGACCACCACTGTCTGTATGTATGTCCACAGAACATGAAGTCAGACTCCAACGACGTCAAAGTCCTCATAAGCCAGGTGGTCTCCTACCTGGCTGACAACAGTCCGCAGCGTTTCCGCGGCGACGTCCAGATGGTTCCGGCGCTGGTGATGGGCACCAAGGAGAAGAACTCCATGGTGAGATCGTGCAGCGAGGCAGCGCTCGTCTCCCTTCTCAAGCTCAGGAGCGGAGAGGCCACTTACCAGGTTTGTATACACATGTTGTCATCAGGGCTGGCACTTTTGAAAAAATAGCAGGAATAGATTTAGCACTTAAAAAAAAAAATTATGTCGGTTTAGAAAATTGTTTTTGACATGTTCTTTGTGATTCACATGTGTAGTTGGACTGTATTATATTATGGGGTTTTTTTTGTTGCTGTCGTATTTCATGTATGACATTTATTTTTCTTGAGCTGTTGAGGGTTTTTTTAAAGGTTTTAAAAAAATTAATTAAAAAATTTATGCTTTAAAAAAGAAGTGTCCTACTATGGAATTTGTAGTGTGGTCACATTTTGGGGTTTAAAAAAAAGACATTGCTGTTTGAAATCCACATGTTTTTCAGGATTATTAATATTAAAATGTTCTGAAAAGAAATGAATGGCAAGAGTAAAGTGAATACACTGAGGGTGATACCTGCCTACAGGCAAGAGACGGGAAGGGGAGCAGTTTTTGTGTGTGTGTGTGTGAATCAATTTCCCCATAGCTTGTACCTCAAACTAAACTTTTTTCTCTTTAGACTGTTCTGCTCTCTCTGGATGCTGGCATGCAAGAGTCTCTGAAAGAAGTGGTCAGTCGGTCACTGCGCAAGATGGCCAGCCAGCCTGAGTCGCTGGTCGAGGAAATCGACGACACCATGTTGAGGTGATCTGTTAGTACCGGTACCTCTCCTCGAAGGGAGACAGTGTGATGTGTGCTGTTGTTTTTGGAAAGGAATGTCCAAGTTCTTAGACTTGTCGAAATTGTGATGTCTTTCGTTGTTCATCTTTGAAATTCATTGAGATGGACTTCCTCTCTCGTTGTGATTTCAATGTCGAGTGATCTGATGTTGAAACCAATCTTTTGTCATAGACTTAAGTCGCATCATCTGCTCTCCTCATCAACCCCCTTAGTCACCTGTTTCCCTACCCCCACATCTGTCATGTGATTTTTAAAAAGGAAATTTGACATGATAAATATGGATGGTGTGTTGAAGTAAGGGAGGCGCCCCAGTTAAATCTTATCTTCGGTTATATAACGATTATCATAATTATCGGACTTGCACGGCTTGCAAGCTTAAAGGTTCTGCATGATCTTTTACAATGTCCGTATTTTGATGGATGAACCAGGTATGTGTGTGTGTGTGGACGCTACTGCTACTTCTGTGAGTATTGTTTATATAGTTTGAGAGTTTGTGAAAGATGTAAATATATAATATCAAATTCGTTTCAATGGGGCGAGTGCTAAAACCTGTTTTGACGACGGACTTGTGTAGAATTTATTTTATGCTATTATGGTTTTTATTAATGACCAATATGGTGAGAGAGAAAATACTGATGTCCCTATGTAAAGAGGCAGCCCCACCACCACAAAAAGCAATGAATGTGTATGTTGATAAGAGGGGAAAAAGCATTTATTACACAATATTTCCTATTTATTGTGGGTAACTGGATGACAAAAGACTTATTAGTGTAGTGTAAGTCTATTTATTTTGGGTTTTTTTCATCTCTGTCTGTCCTGTCCACGAAGGGGGTGGGGGGTTGTATCAGCATCCAGCCTCCCTGTAAAGTAGGTAAGGCGACTAAAATCTCTGTCATTCTCGTTATTTCATGAAAAATGACGTGTGTTAATCCAAGAGCAAAATGAATGCCATGGTCATGCTTATTTTCTGATCAGCAGCAAGACATGAGTGTAATGGATGCTTTCCCAATGCATAGCTTTTTTAAAGATTGCTTTGTTTTTTTCTAACTATGTGTAGAACTAAAACAAATTTGAACTGTGCTGTACTATATTTATCCTCAGGATTCATGTTTTTTAAAAAGTGAGATCATATTTATTTCCTTTAAATTATATCATAGAGATAATCACAGCAAGGATTTGTGCTGCAAGCCCATCTCTTGATAACCACCTGTTTCTGTCGTGGTCATTCAATTTTTCTTTGTTTTGGTTTCTTCAAATGTCGTAGAGGGGCTACTGAAGATTTATCTCAGTACTGGGAGGTGGAACTGAGGGCCAGTGAATGAAGAGAGGTGTCATAAATTATGATAAATGGAGAAAAAAACCCCCATACAAACCCAACAACAAGATGTAGCTGAAACCTCAAGTTTAGAACTTGGCTCTGTTACTGTGGTAGACAATCCATATTTTTGTCTACTGGTACCCGTACACTATGATTATGTGGAAGTATGGTGATGACCCTTGGATTCCTTTAGGTTGTGCAAGTGTGTGTGCAGAAGTGAAGTCATTGCAGTAGTTATGATTACAATGTTAAAAGTTTGGAATGAATAAACATGTGTACAAAAAGAAAAAAAAAATGTTCTTTGATTTTTTCCCCCATTCGATTCCTTTCTATGCACTCTAGTATGTTCTCAGTTAATAAAAAGTTTCCATTTCCAAAATCTGCAGGACCAGCAGATTTTCTTCAGTTCATATGGGTTTTTGATTAAGGGAAGACCCGGGTCGGTGATCCCAGGCAATACCGATACAATTTTTCAAACTATCCAACTTTTGTTTTTTGCGGAAAAACATCCTTTGACATCTGTTCTATCGAGTCAAAATGAAGAAACTGTTGAAAAAACATCCTAAATGACCTAAAAGGGCGTTTGAAAAGTGCAAATTGCTCTAAAAATCCTTTTAAAAATCCGTTTTTTTTGTTTTTCTCAAAATCTACTTTTTGACGTATGTGACCTCCTGGGTGCAAGGAGTTTTCAAAAACTGCAGAAGCTAGAAGCTTCAAATTTAGTGTACAGGTGCTTTAAGATCGATTCTGGGGATCTATGAAAGGGATTTGGGAAATATTGGTAACTTGAGGAAATATTCAATTTTTTGGTAATATGTACCCCAAAATTTCGTCAACTGACTCTAGGGGGTCCAATGACTTTGGGCTCACTTTTTTAGTTTTAAAGATAGGTCAAAACCCTTTAATAGATCCCCAGTTCATATATAGGTTTGTACTTGTGTGCCAAACTTCAGGCTGATAATTCAATATTTACTATGAAATTCTTCTGCACTAAGAAACGCGTGGTTTGAAAATCCAAGATGGCCGCCACAGAGACCCATTTTTTAGAAAAATTCAACAAATTCACCCCTAGTACATCCTATTTAGGGCCTACCTATGAACTTCTTGCACAATTACATGAGATTTAATAAAAGTCATTCTTTTAGAAAATTTTTCCGGGAGTGTACGTCTCCCCTTAAGAAAGGTTGTTCAAATAGAAGGGGGGGGAAGGAATTTTATTTCCCGTAGTACTGTTTTTGCGAACTCCAATGTTTTTTTGTTGTTTTTTTTAGTAGAGGGCTTTACGGGGCTCGCAACTGCATAAGGTCATATGAGCGCCAAGGGGTGGGTGTCAACAGAGAAGTCTTTACAGGGAATCAGACTTACTCTGCTCACCTCTCTAGCTTCAACAGCACAAAGTCTGCTTCAACTGTCGAGGCACCCCGGAAATAGCAGGTCGCAAGAGTGTGACAAACATACAAAAGAAGTAGAGGAAAAATGACAATAGTAAGGATTAGGAAAGAAAAAGCAGGAGTTCCCTGTGGTAGATCAGGCACTGTTATGAGCGTGACATGATGAATCCAGCCCATTTACAATTTTACTGTGTATGAACGTGTCCCACCTTTGGGAAAGGCCTAAAGACACTACTGTCAGTGGCACTGCCCCGGGGGGTATAACTCCACTGTAATATCAGTCCATGCATGTGTGGACCCAGAAGTTGGCTGATCAACGAATCGCTACCTTAGAATTACAACGTTTTATGATATTTTAAAAATCTATCTGACATTTTTGGCTGCTTTGAGTTACTAAAATCGTAAGATTATTCGGAGTCGTTATCAAGATATTCAAAGAACTGTATTAGGAAAAGCTTAAGGGAAGACCCGGGTCGGTGATCCCAGGCAATATCGATAAAATTTTTCAAACTATCCAACTTTTGTTTTTTGCAGAAGGACATCCTTTGACATCTGTTCTATCGGGCCACAAAGAAGAAACTGTTGAAAAAACACCCTAAATGACCTAAAAGTGCGTTTGAAAAAGTGCAAATTGCTCTAAAAATCCTTTTAAAAATCAGTTTTTTCTGTTCTTCTCAAAATCTACTTTTTGACATGTGACCTGTTGGGTGCAAGGAGTTTTAAAAAACTACCAAAGCTAGAGACTTCAAATTTAGTGTACAGGTGCTCTAAGATCGATTCTGTGGATTTATGTGAGGGAATTGGGAAATATTGGTAACTTGTGGAAATATTCAAATTTTCTGTAATATGTACCCTAACATTTCGTCAACCGACTCTTGGGGGTCCAATGACTTTGGGCTCACTTTTTTAGTTTTAAAGAGAGGTCAAAATCCTCAAATGGGTCCCCAGTTCAAAGGTTTGTACTTGTGTGCCACATTTCAGGCTGATAATTCAATATTTATTATGAAATTCTTCTGCACTAAAAAACTGGTTTGAAAATCCTAGATGGCCGCCACAGAGACGCATTTTTCAGAAAAATTCAACAAATTCATCCTTAATACATCATATTTACCTATGAACTTCTTGCACTGTTATATGAAAGTGAATAAAAGTCATTCGTTTATAATTTTTTTCCGGGAGTGTACGTCTCCCCTTAACATGTGAAACTCCAAAAAATTCTTAATGTCAAATTTCTCAAAGCCAGGTCCTGAGCAATAGAACATTGTAATTCTAGGGTAGCGAAATGCTCTGGTCGTTAATTTTTAAAAATACAACCAAGGAAGACAGATCTCAAATTATCAAAAACAATTGTCATTTATTTGTTTGAACATCTGTACACAATTGATGATGAATAATGAAATGTCAATGATAAACTTGTACCGAACAGAGAACCCCGCATTCAACAACTTAGTTGGCTCCAACATTCCATTCTGAGGATTCCAAAACTTCCTAGATGGCAAGGTATGACAATCTCGAGCATTGGTGGTTTTAATGAGGGTGTTTTTGATTTTTGGAATTCTTTCTTTTCATCGAATCTGAGGTTTCGTTGAATCCAGCATAGATGGATGCGCGGTCCCCTATTCTCTGCTAAATGGAAATCAAAATGCCGTCAGTCATAAGGAAAATAACAACCAGTAGCAAAAACTGGCAAAAGAGCAAGTGTGATAACCGTCACTGCCATTATCGCTGTCAATTACAACGAACTCTGCAGATGATGAAGCTTCTGAAATCTAATAGAAATGCCACGACAAGGGATTTTTTCCCTCTTCCTGACCACGGCCAGTGCCTCAAACAGCATAGGTCACGGATTCTTTCCATGATAGCCCACAGTAGTGTATGAACACACAATAGGGGGCATCCTAGTCAAATGGTAAGGCCTCAGACCTCCAACAAAGAAGTTATGAGTACCTTGTACCTCCTCAGCACTTCACAACCGGATGGGAACAGCTACCTTGACAATGCTTCACCAGGGAACATCTTGTAAGTCAAACAGTATTGGCAGTGAGTCCACGTTGGTAAAAACCCCAACAAAACAATTGTTCTGTCATCCACGACATCCATGGTCAAATCAAGAGGACTAGACCATGTCCAGTTGGTCTTTGTACTCGGTGTAGAGTCTCTGGAACTTAAGATCAGCACCAATTGAAGGGAGAGCACTGCGCAGGACTGCGTGCTTGTCCACTCCCTGAAATACATCACAAAGACAGAATGAGAGAAGAAACAACACAGGTTCTCGTTTTAATAAGAGTTTTACAGCTCTTGCAACACAAATACAGTCTGGCATGGATAACTTAAACATGTCCGGTATTGACAACATGTGTTCGACACATCAATAATTTGAGTAACCCGATTATAACAAACATTTTTTAAATGTCAGTAGAGGAATAGTAAATTGTGCGAGGTATCCGTGATTTTGAGTTGTTCCATGTTCATGCTATCTGTGCCTGACTGTTGGTCATATAAGGTCAAATAAATAAACTGCACCAGCACACCTGCCAAACATCCGCAAAAACCATTATGACCACAAAAGGTGAACCAAAAGAAAAGGGGAAGAAATTCTGGGGACTCTTTTTGCATTTTCTTAGATGAATTCAATAGATGATCCGACTGCTCTTCTTAGCATTGGTTTTTCTTTCTTAGAGAGAATCTTGCACCATAACAGTAGAACTTCCTAAAAGAATTTAAGCATGAGAAATCCATTGGTGCTGTAAAGTTTTGAGCATCTCCTATACAGTGGAGTCCACTCATAACAAGTCCAGAAATAACGAGAAGTCTGTTATAAAGACACTATTTTAAAACCCTGTTTCTTCCCTTCTTTTTCTTTGTAAATAAAATACTGCTATAGATTGCGCAATCAGACAAAGACGCGAGTCGGTTATAGCGGAATACTGCTGCTACTGTGCACAGCACACAGCACATAGGCCAACTATATACATAATGTTAAACCTTGCCAGTTAAGAAACTTGTTGGTGATCTAGCGAAACAAAGAATGGGAGATCCCATGTGGGTCAACAATGAAGGCTGGAGCGAAATAGGGGGGAGGAATGTATAGTCAGGAATGTTACAAACTAATACAGTCAGATTTACTGGACCCATTGCCACATAAACCAGCTTGAGGACCAGTTTCGTGACAACATTGGCCCCTTGTTCCTGCTGGGCGTTTTCTCGAGAATAAGTCTAGATGTTACCAAGTGGTTCCAACACTTCATCAGCTTTTGCCTGAAGGAAAAGTAATGTGAGTTCTCATAGTCTAGAGGTAAGGTGTTCACCTCTCATTCTATAGAACCCGGGTTCGAAACCGGAAAATGTTCTCTGAAAAAAATTTCTCCTTTCACCTTCTTTCCTGCTCTCTGATCATGTTTTATCGTCTGCTTTCGTCTCCATTTTCTGCCCCCACCCTATCCCTTTGCCACCTCCGATCTGGACTCCCGACTCTTTCTACTGTCTTTCTACTTCTTCTCCTTGGCTCCTTCTTACAGCTGTCTTTCAGCCACACCCCCGATCTCAGAGTAGGTAAGATCGAACACCTAGCCTTTGCGGATAAGGACGAAAAAATCTCGGAGGTCCTGTGCAGGTTGCACGTCTTAGAGATCCATCAGTGGTCCTAAAATCGATAAGAGCAAATTTCAGCCACTACTCGGGCAAGATTCAAAATTACAAGTTATTCCTATCAAACTGAAAATGTGTCCTGCATGTCGATATGAACTTGTGTGGCTGTGAGTGCCGTAAAACACTTATAAAAAATTGTGAAAGGAAGTACGGAACCGTATGAAATTTATTCACCTGAATTATCTTCACCGGACATGCTTTGATAAAGTGAATAACGAAAAGGCGTTTTTCATCTCTTTGAAACCGGCCTTATGTTCCTTCAAGTTCCGACATTTGAAAAGTCGCAAGAAAGACAACATTCCCCTCTCTCTGTCTGTCCATCTGTCTGTCAGTCTCTCTCTCTCTTAAAATGTAATTGTAGAAGTCTTACGCCCCCACCGACATTATTTAGATCATCAGGGAGGCGGTTGTCATTAAGTTAATAACCAACTGTGAATACATAGAGTCACCTGACGCCAATAACAAATCAGGGCGAAAGAAACACAGGAAAGAAGTAGGAGCCAACAGACGGCATCAGTGCACCCACCAAATACCCGGCTTACCAAGATGTAACGAGACCACTTTTTGGACGACCGCGACTTGTAAACTGGGCCCAGAAGGTCGTCACACACCTCACGCAGCTTGTCCTCCACGCCTGAGGAGATAACAAACAGACACAGAGAGTAAAGCTGGTTACTTTTTTGAGTAAATAGAAGAACATCCAT